TATGTTAATATAGTTTGCCCGGTTTAATCTCTATTTGTTCAACTACGTTCTTGCTTTAGTTAATTGATAGGATCCTCAATTAGCTGTGCCTATTTAGTATGTATTACTCGGGAGAGAGTGCATATTTAGGTAACTGTTGAACAACACCACTCCCAAAGTATATGAGGGATCAATAACCGAGGGTTTAAAGGCGGGGATTAGGGATAACAAAGCCTTAGGTGCGATCTAAAGGGAGATGTAATAAAAGTCAGCTAGCGTAACTCGGGAGAATGCATCTAGTAAATTGTCGTAATTAATCGGGAGAGATTTACGGTAGTACGAATGCTCATGATCGATAGAAACGATTAGGCGATTCTATGCGAAACATAACAAGAAGAGACTCCATCAATAGGGGAAATCATAACCTTAGATCCTTCTATTACTTGCATACAACCCAGTCATAGTTAGCTTTTAATTTACTTGCTTTCATTCAGTTATAGTTAGTAAAAAAAAACATCTCCAATTGTTATTCAAAATATCTGAAAATTTGATTATGAATAATTTGGTGAGTCTAACAAGAGTAATTGGTAGGTTAATTCCCTGTGGATTCGACTCTAGGCTAAATACTCGGATTATATTTGTAGCGACCGCTTTGTCCTTTTTATTAGGCATAGTTGGACGTGATCAGTAGACGTCCCATTAGTCAAGTTCTCGGACTGTAAGAGCGCGTAGCTAGTAGATCGTGGAAGTTGATCTCAGGTTTAATCGTCGTTTATTGTCGCTGCTGAATCCATAGAGTTTAACGGTACGTTTCCTTAGACTCTAACTCAAGATTATGATTTTATATCTGTATGATTGTGTCTTAATCTCTGCTATAGCTGCGAATTAATAATTTAACAGTTGATACCAAAGCCACCATAGTTAGGGATTAAGATCAAAGAATTAATCTTGATTTCTAGAATACGCTATATTCTTCTATCAATTTTTCGGATAGCGATACAATACAGTGAAAATCGTTTCATTGTGCGGCTGTTTTCGGCAGACTTCTGGTGGACGGTTGCAATCATGTATATTGTTTCTGCAGAATGGGTTTTAACCCATATTTAAAGTAACAATTTATCAACCAAAAGAAAACAGGTATAAGATTTGATACTTGCCGATGGAATGGAGGAAACAGTGGTCAAATCTTTGGTTATTAAAACTTTTGTTCTGATTGTGGCGTAATTTTGGAATAGAAAGATTCCCTTATTTGGTTTTCTTTTAATATCCATAGAAATTGGGTAACATGAGCTTTATTATGAAATTCTTTTTATGAGAAGTTGAGATTTGTTGTTAAGATGACATGGACAGCTGCAACGGTTGTCAATATGATAGTATATTATTTGTGATCAAGTTTTCTTATAAAGACCTGTTCTATTTCGTGCCGAACATAATTGTTGTATTAAGGATTCTATTTAATGATGTTGCTTATAGTCAGAGAATGGATTCAAAATTAATATAAAAAATAAATTAAAAGGTTTAAATTATATGGGTATTATTTTATCACATGACAAGTATAATTAAGAAACGGTGATTAATAAATAGTGTCACCAAAGTGGTCTATTTATTTGAAGTCACTGAAAAGTTCTTAATATTATATACACGTGAAATCCTTTAATACATAGATTGAAAGTTATAATTAAGAGACAATTTTCACCAAAGTGGTCTGTTTATTTGAGTCATTGAAATATTCTTAATCCATATGTCTAAATTGTCCTTTATAAGTGTACACTAGTGTTAGAGGTTTTTCTTTTGATACTAGTGACGCTAAATTAATTAATAAGAGTAGATATTGTGTTTTTCACCTAAAGAAAGAACATAATATCTTGAATTCCCACGTGTATAAAAGAGGATAGTTTGTTATAGAGGAGATTTTGTGACTCTTACCTAAAGGAAGGATACAATGTAGGCCTTGTACTCTTGGATGATATTGAGAGAAGGTTTTGCATCTCTTGCCTAAGGGTGAGGATATAATAAATGCCTAGGACTCCTTGGTCCTTAAAGGGGAGACAATTGCATCTTCCACCCAAAGAAAGGGTGCAATAGATGTCTTTGACTCTTTTGATTTATGTGTACATGCCCATGATTTTCTCTAAGCTTTACATTGTTTGATGATATAACTATTAATAACATGACTACTCAGTTGAATACCATTGAAACTCTGACTAGTAACAACTACAAGAAGTGGAAACAAGATGTTGAAGTAGTGTTAGGTCTGATGAACTTGGACTTTGCATTGACAGAACAGAAACTTGTTGAACCTATAACTACTAGCACATATGATGTAAAGGCTAAGTATGAGAAATGGATAAAGGCTAATAAATTGAGCCTTATGATCATAAAGAGATCCATTTCTAATCACATAAATGTGCAATTAAGGATAATGGAAATGCAAAAGATTTCTTGAGTGCTATTGGACAGAAATTCTTAGAATCTGATAAAGCTGATAGGTAGCCTGATTGATTCCCTGTCTTCGATAAACTATGATCTTATAGATAGAGTCTGTGATCATATTATGAAATTGATTAACATTGCTATCAAACTGAATAATTTAGGTGTAACCATTACTGATGATTTTCTTGTTCATCAATCCCTAAGGTCCTTTCCTGAATAGTTTAACCAGCTTAACAACCTATAATGCACAAAAAGATAAATGGAGTGTTGATGAGCTTATTACTGTTTGTGTGGTAGAGGAAGGAAGGATCCAAAAGGAGAAAGTTGAGGGCATAATGAACCTTGTTAGTTCATCTAGATCAGCTGATCATCCATGGTCGACCTCATCATCCAGGTGGTAATAGTGGTCATACTAATAAGCTTGGTGGTAACCAAGGTCAGTATCATAATTCTCTTGGCCCTCAAACTGTAATTAAAAAAAGAAATCAAGTGTTGGGATTACAAGCAAGTAGGTCATAAGAAAGTTGGTTGTACTCTGAAAAAAAAACCAGGTAATATTTTGGCTTTTGTCTGCTTTGAAACTAGTCTTGTCCATGTTCCCTTAAATTCCTGGTGGTTGGATAGTGGTGCAACTGTTCATGTAACCAATGACTTGCAGGATCTAGTAAGCAGACGGAAGCCAAAAGAGGATGAAGCCAGTGTTGTTGTGGGCAATGGACTCAAAGCAAAAGTAGAGTTTATAGGGACATCTATTTTACCTTTTAAAAATAGTTCTAGTATTTGTTTAGAAAATACCATTTTTGTACCGTCTATGAGATGGAAATTAGTTTCGGTTTCCCTTTTGGACAAAGCTAGTTATTCATTTCAACAAAATAATAGTATTATTAAAATTTCCTATGATTCACATGTTGTTGCTAATACATTTTTAAGTGATGGTCTATATTTCTTGAATGTGTTAGAATGAAATTTTTTCTGTATTGCATGTTAAAAGTATTGACCACAAAAGGTCTGCTATGAGTAAAACGTCTTGCCTATTATGGCATAGGCGTCTTGGTCATATTTCTAAAGAAAGAATTGAATGATTGGTAAAGGAAAATATTTTACATGTTCTTGATCCAAAAGATTTTGAAACTTGTGTGGATTGTCTTAAGGGTAAAATGACCAAGGTTAAGAGAAAGGGTTCCACAAGGAGCTCTGAATATTAGTGGGCCTTATGTACCTACTTTGACCAATCATAAGCATTTTATTACTTTTATTGATGACTTATCAAGATATTGTTATATATACCATTTTAAAAGAGAAGTCCGAAGCACTTGATAAGTTTAAAATTATACAAGACTAAAGTTGAAAAACAACTTGGGAAGTCCATCAAGATAGTGAGGTTTGACCGTGGTGGTGAGTACTATGGAAAATATGATGAGTCTGGTCAATGTATGGGGCCTTTTACTTTATTTATGCAATAATGTGGGATAATAGCACAATACACCATGCCAGGTACTCCTGAGCAGAATCGTGTGGCTGAGAGACGAAATCATACTCTCATAAAAATGGTGAGAAGTATGATGGCAAGGACTGTCATTCCTGAGCCTCTTTGGGGTTAAGCCTCAAAAATAGCTACCTATATCCTGAATAAAGTTCCTACAAAATTTGTCTTTCCCTTTGAACTATGGACAACCCGAAAACCTAGGTTGAACCATTTTCACATTTGGGGATGTCCAGTTGAAGTTCGTACTTATTCACCCTCGAAAAATAAAGCTAATCCTAAGACTACCAGTTGTTTCTTTATAGGCTATCCTGATCATTTTAAATGTTTTAGGTTTTTCTGTCATGGGCGTGACACTAGAATCGTTGAGTCTATTAATGCAAAATTTCTTGAGCATGATGTTTGTCATTGTGGTTGTTCATGTGGGAAGGAAATTGTGTTAAAAGGGAAGGAAGTCATTGTCCATATATCTGTTGTACATGAAAAAATGGTAAACCAACCTATTCATGTGGGGGGGAAATCAAGAGAATAATGACACAAATCCCATGGTCCCTGAGCAAAATGAACACAATGAACCACTTCGTAGGTCAAAAAGAGAAAGAAGATCTGTCATCTCTGATGATTTTATCGTATATGTAATGGAAAATCTTAGTGATACTGGAGAGTTGACTGATCTTTTATCATATGCTCAAGCTATTTCCTCTCAATATGTTGATAAATGGCGCAAGATAATGGAAGATGAAATGTGCTCCATGGAACACAATAGAGTGTGGGAGTTAGTTAAATTTCATGTAGGTTTTAGGCCTATTAGTTGCAAATGGATGTTTAAAACCAAAAGAGACTCCAAGGGAAACATAGACCATTATAAAGCAAGGTTGGTTGATAAGGGTTACACTCAGAAAGAAGGTATTGATTATAAAAGAAACTTTTTCTCCTGTTTCATCTAAGGATGCATTTAGAGTTATGATGGCTCTTATGGCTCATTTTGATAGGGGTGTTCAAAACCGATCCGAAACCGAAAATCAAACCGAACCGAAGCTTAATGGCTTACTAGTAACGGCTTAACGGATNCGTCTGTCTCTATAGTCTATTCTCTAAGACTAAAACTAACGCATTCCTAAATAATCAAAAGACAGAATCATAGAAACCCTAACGCCTAAACCAGCAGCCATCAGTCCTCGTCGTTGTCGACTTCCGCCAGCCACCGGTCTCCCTCTCGCCGTCTCGTCTCTCCCTCTCGCGGCTTCTTATCTTCTTATCCAGGTACTCTTACTTATGATTCCCATCAAAATCAACTGATGACATACTTACTCTAGTAGTAGAGGTACCACAATATTTTTCTTGGATAAAACCAAACTGGGTTTAAGAGATGAGCGTGCCCTGTGAAGGGATTTAAAAAATGGGTCAGAGATTAAGCTTCTCCATTGTTTGCAAATGCACCTTAACCTGCACAATGTCTTTGCCCATAGCCTTGACAAGATGTTCATCATCACATCCTTGGACAACATTATCATCTCTGCTCTATGGCTAGCAAACTTTTCCCTCAATTATCATAAGTTTGCTAGTCATTTTTTTTTCAATATACAGTTTTTTCTCATTATTTGTTGTTGAATTTGCTGATTTTGTTAAACGGATATGTTTACAGTAGGAAGAAAATAATAATAAATTCTGACATTTTCCAAGTTTCAACTTTCTGCTTCTGAAATGAATTCACAGGAGCAGCTTCTTTGGTTTTTAGAACAATTTGTAGTAAGAAAATTTGTCTAGTGGTTTAGTAGGGGGTTGACGAGATTTAGCTAGATTGTCATAAAAAATGCCATTTTCTAACATCATGAATAAGTTTTTTGGTTTTTGTTGGGACTTTATAGAGGAGTATTTCTCACAAATTTCAACTACACCTTGTTAGAGATTCTTATGCTAGTATAGGAGATATCGAGAAGTAGTATTTTCATTTTTATTTTTATTTTATAAAATGTTTGCTTGATATGGTTTTGAATGGGGAACATGGTTAGTCATGATTTATATAGCCCACCCTAGCTTGTTTGGGATTGAGACATAGTTGTTATATTATGAGTACTTTTTGGCTATTTTTAGGGCATTCGATTGGGATCCCAATTTTTGTCACTTTCTTAAATTTACAGCTGTTTAGGAGGTGATTGCCAAGATCCAATACTTTGTGTTATTTATCAATCAAACATGACAGTAGAGGTGCAACCTGAGACAACTCAAGTAGTTGAAGAAGTTGTTGTTGATTTTGATAATTTTAGGATTTTCTTCTTCGTCTTCATTTCTCTGTCCTTATGTTTTGTACTGTGCCCTTTCTGTCTCAATTTCAATTCAAGAAACTCAGGGCTAACGAAGCGCTAGTATTGTTTAAGCCATGAATATGGCACGATGATCTCTGCTTATTGCTATCCCTTCTCAGAAGTCAGTGACAGTTAAATTAATTAATCAAGACTAAATGTTGATCCTTAATAATTGTGTTTTCATCGTTTAGTTCATTGCTAGAACATGCTCTAGTTTTGTTTAATGCAAGCTCAAAACTAGTCCATTATAACTTGATGTCTTTATTCTCATTCCTTTTCTTTTCTTGTTGCAGTGACTCATACATAGCTGAAAATATACAAAGTGATAAGGTGATGATGGGTGAAAGTGGGGCTTCTAATTCAAATGCAATAAGTCAAGCTCAAACAACAGAGTTAAATATAACCAACAAAAAGAGAAAAAGGTCTGTTGTGTGGGATCATTTTATAGAAATTATTACTTCTGAAGGGAGTACAAAAGCAATGTGACTATCGCTTTATTGAGTATGTATTTAAGACCAATGACGGTACGTCGACACTTATTTCTCATAAGCTTAAGTGTCCTAAACAACCTGCTATTGTTGATAAAAAGCAATCAAATTTAGGCTTTCAATCTGCTCCGGGGGGTAGTCAGGGTGACGTAGCTGTTGTTACTTGGAAATTTGATCAAGAAGAATGTTGGAACACATTATGTCGTATGGTAATAGTTGATGAGTTTCCTTTTAGCTTTGTTGAGAAAGAAACTTTTATAGACTTTATGAAAGTGGCACAACCATATTTTCGGATCCCTTCCTGTAGTACTGTAATTAGGGATTGTTTTGATCTTTTTAATGAAGAAAAGCAAATGTTGAAGAGATTTTTTTATAGAAACAAAACAAAGAGTATGTATTACCACTGATACCAGAACTTCTATACAAAGGATCAATTACATGTGTATCACTGCCCATTGGATTGATAGTGAATGGAATATGCATAAGAGAATAATTATTTTTTGTCCTATTGTTACTCATAAATGCGAAGATATGGCAAATAGTATTTGTAGGTGCTTACGTGAGTGGGGGATAAATAAGATTTTCACTGTCACAGTTAATAATGCAAGCTCAAATGATGTGACAGTAAAAGAATTATCTAAGTAATTAACAAAAATGGGAACTAATTTGATGAATGATACTCACCTCCACGTGAGATGTATGGTTCACATCATGAATCTTGTGGTCCGGGATGGTTTAAAAGAATCTTCAGTGTCTGTTGAACGTGTAGGCATGCAGTGAGATATGTTAGGCAGTCTCCAGGTTGAAGAGGTTTCAAGAATGTTTTGATGCTGAACAACTCAATTCTAAAAACACTTTATGCTTAGATGTTCCAACTAGATGGAATTCCACCTACTTGATGTTGCGCAGGGCTGTTGAATTTGAAAGTGCATTTTCACATTATGCTTCTAGTGAAATTGGCCCGAGACATTATCTTGAGCATTCTTATATTGATATTGGAATTCCTACAGGTGAACTTTTGAGTAGTGATTGGGAGAATGTAAAAAGAATTACAAAGTTTTTTGAAATTTTCTATCTTCTTACTTTGAAGATATCTGAATCACGTTATGTTACATCGAATATTCATTTTCTTGAAATTTGTGTTGTTTGTTTATTTGAAGCAATTGATAACAAATGAAGATACGGTTTTAAGTGAAATGGCAAAGAATATGAAAGAAAAGTTTGATAAGTATTGGGGCGATCCATGGAAAATGAACAAGGTATTTTTTATCTCATGTATTTTGGATCCACGTTACAAGATCGAATCGGTTGGCTATGCACTTGTAAAGATGTTTGGTGTAAATCAGGGGGCAACTATACAAGCAGAAGTGACGAAGTACATGACTTCATTATATAGTGAGTATGTAAAGTCCAACTCAAAAGGTGTTGTGCTTGCTTCATCTTCAGATTGTTCTTTATTGGACACTTCAACTTCCGGGCTTTCTGGCAGTCAAGCAAGCACCCAAAATATAGGACTTTTAGAATCACTCATGCAAGATATAAAAAAAATATAAAAATGGGAGTGGAGGTGTTGATACTAGGACAGAGTTAAATAAATATTTAGGTGAAGAAACTGAGGATGATACTAAAGAATTTGATATTCTTCTTTGGTGGAAACTGAACTCGGCTAGATTTTCTATTCTTGCGGAGATGGCTCGTAATGTATTAGTTGTTCCGGTTTCAAGTGTGGCATCTGAATGTGCGTTTAGTACATGATGACATCTTCTTGATTCATTTAGGAGTTCATTAATTCCTAAATTGGTGCAAGCTCTAGTATGTCTTCAAGATTGACTTCAAAATAAAAAATTAAAATAACCTATTAGTGTTGAGGAAGATCTTGATAAAATCGAGCAGCTTGAACATGGTAATAATATTGTTACTATATTTGTTGTATATAAGTGTTGTTGATATGCTTATATTTATCGTACGAGTCATTATTTTAATTTTTTTCTTCAGATTTAGCCAGCAATGGAAAAGACCCTTCCGTAATTGACGTGTAGCGTTAATATATTTGGTAAGAATTCGAATTTAGGCTAATGTGGTGCCCTCTAACATGCGACATGTCACATTTCTTTAGCTTACTGTGAAACTACATTACAAATGATCATATTGGATTCTTCTGAAGCTATAAGTTTATTTGAGTTTTTCAAAATGAATTTTTTTCCCCTGACTACTTAATATGCTGAAAATATGAGTTTCACTATACCCTTGCTCTTTAAATGTGGATGTAGGGTCTGAAACTCATATAATTAAGTGTTGTCATCAACGTCTGGTATTTTGAAGGATTAAGATTGCTTCTAGTACCTATTTCTCTTGTACTTTTGTTGATTATCTTTAAATGTGGATGTAAGGTCTGAAAAATTCATATACCTACTTCTTGTTTATGTATACTGGTTGCAGGTGAGACTGTGACTTTAATTGCTGAGACTGTGAAGTGAGACTGTGACATTGATTGCTGCAGTACATATGAGTACAGAAGCATGGTGATAAGAAGAAAGTGGAATTGATTCAATGTGTTCTTTTTCCTTTTACTGTACTTTTTTGTTTTTGAACTAGTTGCTTACACTATGTTGTTTCATCCTTTTCTGAAGAATTTAGAAAGCAAGGTCACATGATTGTGAACTTCCTTGCTGATTACTATCAAAATATTGAAAAATATCCAGTTTGTAGCCAAGTCAATCCAGGCTATCTCAAAGTATTGTTGCCAAAACCAACATATTAATACATGCTCTTTTGTTGCTTGCTTTTTATTTGATGCGTATGATATGCTTTATCTCAATGTTATTGATAATGAAACATGCATTGAGAAACATCATTGCATGTGTCAGTAGATCCTCTGATATAACAAGTTTGGTGGAAGTGGTGGTGAAGGAGTGGAGGAATGGTTTAATTGTTAGAATATGATAATTTGATGCTGAAACTATAAACTCAAGAGTCAAACCTTGATGTTTCTCATTATTATTCTTACTTATATCGAGAAATGAATGGGGATAACTCATTGGCAAAGTCCTAATTATTTTGCTTATTTTCCTTCTTCTGGTAGTACTGCTGGATTCCTAGAATCATTGATAATTTTGCTAGGCCGATAAACTGCCCGATAAGAGCTAAATCGATACTAATCTGCCCGATACCTTATCGGGCAGCTAGCAGATTAATACATTTAAAAGCCAATAATCGATAAGCCAAACCGTTAAGAGTAAATAACTGCCAAATTCACCCGATAAGCAGCCCTACATTTTGAACTAGAGTTGCACCAGATGGATGTTAAATTGCTTTCATGAATGGGATTCTGCTTGAAGAAGTTTACATAGTTCAACCTAAAGGGTTTAAAGAAGCTGGTAAAGCACATTTTGTGTGCAAACTTAATAAATCTATATATAGGCTTAAGCAAGCCTCCAGGCAGTGGTACTCTAAATTCGATGAAATCATTATAAAATTTGGATTTGTGAAAAATAAGCTTGATGAATGTGTTATTTTAAAATAGTTAATGGTAATTTCATTATTATAGTTGTCTATGTTGATGACATTCTGCTTGCCATAAATGATTTGGGCTTGATGAATGAGACAAAACTATTTTTGTCCAGGTCTTTTGATATGAAAGATCTTGGTGAAGCCTCTTTTGTTCTTGGGATAGAAATTAAAAGTGATAGGTCACGTGGTTTATTGGGTTTATTACAACGTTCCTATATTGAGAGTGTTCTTAAAAATTTTAATATGCAAGAACGTAGACCTGGTGTTGCATCTGTTGTAAAAGGGGATAAACTTAGTAAAGATCAATGCCCGAAAAATAAAGTTGAAATGAGAACCATGAAAGATATGCCATATGCAAGTGTTGTTGGTTGTTTGATGTACATACAGGTTTGTACAAGGCTTGATATTACATTTGTTGTTAACATGTTGGGAATTTTCTTCTAATCCTGGGTGGGCACATTGGGTGGCTGCAAAGAAAGTGATGAGATATCTACAATGCACTAAAGACATTCTATTTCTTGGAAAAGTGACAAACAGAGTATCACTGCTACATCCACAATGGAAGCTGAGGTTATTGCTTGTCTTGAGACTACTTCACATGATATCTGGATGAAGAATTTTCTTACTAAATTACAAATTATGGATTTTATATCTAAGCCGGTGACTATTTTTTGTGACAACAGTGCAGCTATGTTCTTCTATAAGAATAACAAGAGAACAAGAGGCTCTAAGCATGTTAGCCTTAAGTTTCTTAAGGTTAGAGACATGGTAGAAGAAGGTGATGTAAACACGTGATTTTTGCCCTATATGAGAATTACTCCCAAAAAATTCAAAAATAAAGTAATTTTTCTTGGTGTGCAATTTTATGATATTTTGAATAATTATTTGTATTTGTCTGTGCATGTTTATTTGTTAAATTAATAAAAATACAAAAATATATCGCATTTTGCATGTAAGATTTAATTCTACAATTGTTAGTANAAAAATATAAGGAAAGTCGGAATTGGGCCTCTTCTTCGATTTCAAGTCACAGGCCCAAAAAATGGCCCAACCTTCCCTATGACCCAGTCCATTTCGAACTGGGTCGACCCAGTCCATAACCCAACACCCCTATTATCTTACAAACAACACAAAACAAAAAAAAAGGGAGAAGAAAACCCTAAAAAATGGTTGAGTCATCCGCCCCCCCTCCTATCTTCATCTTCTTCCTCAAGCTCCCCTCCCTAGCATCAATGGCTGCCCCTCCATCCTCCTCACTGCACACACACACACACAACATTCTCCATCGTCCCATCTACCCCAACACGAGCAGCCATGGCTGCTTTCCCCCCGTTTCCCGTTGTCAAAACCAAACGATCATTGGAGTAGCCTCACGTCCACCACCGTTGCTCCGTCGTGCTGTTGCGTCTTCAGCTTCACCATTGCTGCTGCTGGTCACGTTTTTGCTTCAGCTGCTCCTCGCCGCGTCTGCCTTCGTCCTCTTCGTCGAGCTCAAGCTTGAGCTCGACATCCATGGTCGCCACTGCTTCATTCCGCTTCAGCTTCCTCGTCATGCTGCTCACGCAGCTGTTACT